GACTGTGTAACATGATCACATTTCATCGTTTAAAGGTCTTTTATTTCTATTGTTAAAGTACAGAGGAAAGCCAGGAATGTGTAACATGATCACATTTCATCGTTTAAAGGTCTTTTATTTCTATTGTTAAAGTACAGAGGAAAGCCAGGAATGTGTAACATGATCACATTTCACCGTTTGAAGGTGTTTTATTTCTATTGTTAAAGTACAGAGGAAAGCCAGGACTGTGTAACATGATCACATTTCACCGTTTAAAGGTGTTTTATTTCTATTCTTGTAACATGATCACATTTCACCGTTTAAAGGTGTTTTATTTCCATTGTTAAAGAACAGAGGAAAGCCTGAAATGTGATCATGTTACACAGTCCTCCGTTTAAAGGTGTTTTATTTCTATTGTTAAAGTACAGAGGAAAGCCAGGACTGTGTAACATGATAACATTTCACCGTTTAAAGGTGTTTTATTTCTATTGTTAAAGTACAGTAACATCATATTATTTATTTATTTATTGTTACTTTCATTAACAGTGTTGGTTATTCTGTTTGATGTGGTGACTGTCGTCACGTTTTACCTTTGCATTTTATTATTATACTTTAACTATAGATATTTTTTTGCATTGTCAACGCCCCCCCCCCCCCCCAGCGGATCAGTGGTAAGTCTGAAGACTTATAACGCTAAAAATTTGGTTTCAATACCCGTGGTATGCACAGCACAGATGACACATTGTGTAGCCGCTTAGCAACAAACAAACAAAAACACTGTTAGCTTAGGAAATTTAGATTAGGCCTAAATACATATATTAAGCTGGCCGAACTTCGGCAGAAATTATTGTAATTATTATCGGAAAATATCGTTAACAGCGAGGGTTTTCAACTGAGGAAACAATATATTCTAATCATTATAAGTAGGAAGGTGAGAAAAGTATATTCACTTGCCATACTTCACGTTTTGAATAATCCTGTGTCTGCTATTTGTGTTTTCAAACCGCACCATTTCGTGAACTTATATAGATTTTTTTTCAATTAACCACCTGGTAACTTGTTGAGCGTTTTCATACAGGTGGTAGATAAACTATCCACAATAAATCGTCAATCACCACCTAAAACTTTATTCTAGAAGTTTAAAACAATATCTATAGATAAAAATAATGTGATTAACATTTATTATCAAAATTATGTTATGTTCAATATATGGCTCTAAACACACTATATGTGGTTAAGTTTCAGGGGTATATTAAAGTTATGTTATGTTCAATATATGACTCTAAACACACTACAAGTGGTTAAGTTTCAAAGGTATTTTAGGCAGTGTAGACGTAGTGGAGTTTTAGATTTATTAGACTACTCTTGTACTTTTTGGCCTGGTGAAGGCCTCAGTATAGAAGTTAAATATCGTACCACTCTAGACACAAATAACAGCCTCATGAAGGCCTCAGTATAGAAGCCGAAGCGTCGTACCACTCTAGATACAAACAACAGCCTGAAGAAGACCTCGGCGTAAAAGCCGAAACATCGTATCATTCAAGAAACAAACAAATGCCTGAAGAAGCCCTCAGTACAGAAGCCGAAATGTTGTACCACACTAGAAACAAACAACAGCCTGACGAAGGCCTCAGTATAGAGGTCGAAACGTCGTATCACTCTGGAAACAGGCAGCGATCTGAGAAAAAGCTTCAGTATAGAAACTGGAACGTCGTACTACTAGAAATGACAACGGCCTGAAAAGTTTCTCAGTCATTGTCGCACTCAAGAAACATGTAGAAGCAGACCGTTAAAGCTAAGTTTCTACAAGTAGTTATACCGTCATCATAGATGAATAATAACGTAAAGCAGACCGTTAAAGCCAAGTCTCTACAAGTAGTTATATCGTCATCATAGATGAATAATGACGTAAAGCAGACCGTTAAAGCCAAGTCTCTACAAGTAGTTATACCGTCATCATAGGTGAATAATAACGTAAAGCAGACCGTTAAAGCCATGTTTCTACAAGTAGTTATACCGTCATCATAGGTGAATAATGACGTAAAGATTTTTTTATAAAATAAAAGTATGTTATGTGACAGAACCTTTCGGCTAATTTGTATGTTATATGACAGAACCTTTCGGCTAATTTGTATGTTATATGACAGAACCTTTCGGCTAATTTGTTTTAAAGAGTAATGAGCAAATCTTTTTACGAGCACTTTGTTAAATGATTGTTTGCAATTAAGCACAAAGCTACAAAACGGGCTTTCTGTGCTCTGCCCACCACGGGTATCGAAACCCGGATTCTTGCGTTGTAAGTCCGCAGACATACCGCTGTGCCACTGGGGGGCTTGTTAAATGAAGTAAAACTATAAATATACAATATCTTGGCAAACTGAGTTAAAAATGGATTATGTGATGTTCCCCTTGCAGGTGGTCAACTGAGAATGACCGACGATTACAGCAGTAACAATAAGGAGTCAGGTCTGAACTCTCTTGACCAGCAACAAAACTCGGGTAAAAAAAATACTATTTTATCTTTTTTTTTTCTAAGCATTTTAATTACGAAAATATAAGACTAAGAAAGTTAAACCAAACGTATACATTTTTAATGCGGGTTTTCTTAAGTTTATTCATGTTCCACTTAGTTTTTAGGCTTCGTTGTCTGACTGATTCATGGACTGTCAACTTGGGTGAGTATATGAACTGCACTGTTATATTTATTTAATTTAGGTTTAGTAGACTTTCATGTATTCTTAACTCCTGTTCATCATTAGCTCTGGCCAAGATTTTAAAAGTGTAAAGCGCATGTCTCATAATACTTGATTATGACGTAAATCTCAAATTTGCATGCTCGCGCACACGTATTTTTAACGCCCTCTTTAGTAGAACCTATAAAGTACATTCGATGTTTAATAAATGGATATTCAAACTTTATATTTAAAAAAAGAAAATATTAAGAGGCACGCGCTATACAGTTTTAATAAATAGAGAACATTTTAAAATTGTGGACCGGGCTAGTAATAAACAAGAGCTAATAATAAATGAAAGTTTATTAATTAATAGACTTAAGCCTAAATTAAATAAACACAATAATACAATTCATCTGTTATTGAAGTTATAAGTGTTAGCGTTTTGCATAAAGTACAGTAATTAGCAAGTGAAGCCCAGGGACGTACAGTAATTAGCAAGTGAAGCCCAGGGACGTACAGTAATTAGCAAGTGAAGCCCAGGGACGTACAGTAATTAGCAAGTGAAGCCCAACGACGTACAGAAGCTAGTCAATCTTATTACATCGTAGCATGTTTTTAAAGTTTGTCAGATTTTAAATCTAACTCCGGTATTTCGTTAATTTCGTTGTTCACATAATACTCTTATTACACTTTTGTATGTTTCATTTTAGAACGGTAACGTTTCAGTTTAAAGCTGTGAGATTATAGTTACTAGCTGTCCCTTTACAGATATCCCGTAAATATACGTAAAACAGCGTTTCGTTCATCTTAAGTAATATATTAATCCAAATTTATTTAAAGAGTAATCGGAACCAAATATAAACAGGCTTAATGCATTATTTGTATCGCTATATTCGTTATATTTTGTCAGGCCAATCTCTTCGTTATGATTTTGTTTACAGGCACATCGTACTACAATTCTTCAGCTCAACTGGTGCTGAGCCTAATAGTTTGGTTAACTTCAATAAATCAGAGAACCTTGAGGTGAGGAACCCCATTTCCGCAAGTGTAAAAACCCTTGGACTTCTGTGTTACCTGTGGTATCTTGGACCTTACAGTTTCTGCATCATTACCTAAGCAAACAGAGGATTGGAATAAATTATGTGTGATTGCCAGCGACACAAATTAGAAAAAAATGATGTGTTATTAGTTGTACTGTTGAAACGCTGGAGGCATTATTTAAGCGATTATCGCTTCATTAGTAGACACGCGGTTAACAGATGTTTCGTTACTCAGCCCACGTAGTCAGTTTCATAAGATAACAGAACAGATGTGAGACGATTAAAGCCTTCTTTCTAATTACACCAGTAACAGATTTCGGCACAGTAAGGCTTAATTCACGTTTATCATAAATTGAAGAACTCTAACAAATATGAGGAATAACTAATTTCTCCGCAGATGTCGCCACATGTCGCTTTGGAATAACAACATAAAACAAGAATGATGAACACGTAGGTTCAAGAAGTCTTGATAGAAATGAATAAAAAACTCTATAACCGGAGCGCTTTCGAAAGGTGGACCTTTCATTTCTTCTTCACAGTGTTTGCTCCTGAAGAAGAAAGGTCCACCTTTCGAAAGCGCTCCGGTTATAGGTTTTTTTATTCATTTCTAACATAAAACAATATATTACCTTAAAAATGGCTCTCTTAGACAGATATGTACGTGTGTTGTCCTAAATAATGTGGTGTCAAATATCAGTTTAATTTTCTTTTTCTTTTGAATGACGTAAGATTTAATTTGTTTTAGAGTCACTACGTACTTATGTTATATAATAGATAAAGCTTAGAGCTATTATTCACTACAGTGTTAATCGCTATTGAGATTGTATGGTAATTAAAGTTGATATATAATGTCGTTTATTTTGTAAGTAACAATATTCTGAATAAGATCTGAGCAGCCTGTAGAGTGTGTTCTCTGTATACTACGTCATATTCTATAGGGTTCTCTACTGCTTCATCAAGTCGAATATAATCCTTATTTTTATTAGAAACATAATGAGTAGTGGCAGTCACGCATAAACGGTTATTTTAAGGTCAGTGAACACGTCATTTTGAAAATAATTCAGTGTACATCTATGAGCTAAGCGTACATTTCACTCAGAACATAAGAGTGTATTAATCATTTTAATCTGAATAAAACAAAAGGCAGTTCAGGAATAAACGTATATTTCACTCGGAGCACGAGGGTATATTAATCTAGTTAACACTAACAGAATAAAAACCAACTCCAGACTAACCGTGCACGAGGGTGTATTAATCAAGTTAACACTAATAGAATAAAAAACACCTCCAGGCTAAGCATGCACGAGGGTGTATTAATCAAGTTAACACTAATAGAATAAAAACAACTCCAGGCTAAGCATGCACGAGGGAGTATTAATCTAGTTAACTCAAGTAGAAAAAAATAGTTTTATACTCCACTAGTTTCAGTCTCGTGCTCTTGTATTAAATTTCAATATGTTGGTTCTTTAGGAGCCGGAGACTTTCGGGAAAACTCCCAGGAAAAATCAAGCATTCCGTGTCTGTTCTGGCCAAATTTTTCCTTGAAGAAAAACTTGTGATCATTAACTGGCCATTAAAAATAGACTTCCATAAGACACGCACAGAATTATCTCTTGCAGTTCCGATTGTACATTACTCCACCGAAAAGCCAAAGTTTCAATGTCCCTGATTGTTACTGGTTATTAATACAACCTTGTTTGTATCTGATATCCTTTGGTAACATCATATTCTGAAAAGTTCTCGCGGATGAAGTGTGTTTTGGTTTGATACGAACATCATGTTCATTCAGAAGTTGAGACTGATGATGATTGTTACAGGTTGTTACTGATTGTTACAGGTTGTTACTGATTGTTACAGGTTATCACTGATTGTTACTGGTTATCACTGATTTTTACTGGTTATCACCGATTGTTACTGGTTATCACTGATTGTTACAGGTTGTTACTGATTGTTACAGGTTATCACCGATTGTTACAGGTTGTTGCTGATTGTTACTGGTTATCACAGATTGTTACAGGTTATCACCGATTGTTACAGGTTATCACCGATTGTTACAGGTTATCACCGATTGTTACTGGTTGTTACTGGTTATCACTGATTGTTACTGGTTATCACCGATTGTTACTGGTTATCACTGATTGTTACTGGTTATCACTGATTGTTACAGGTTGTTGCTGATTGTTACTGGTTATCACAGATTGTTACAGGTTATCACCGATTGTTACAGGTTATAAGTAACAACCTGTAACAATCAGTGATAACCTGTAACAATCAGTAACAACCTGTAACAATCAGGGATAACCAGTAACAATCAGGGATAACCTGTAACAATCAGTAACAACCTGTAACAATCAGTGATAACCAGTAACAATCGGTGATAACCAGTAAAAATCGGTGACAACCAATAATAGCCAGTAACAATCAGTGATAACCAGTAATAATCAGTATTAACCAGTAACGATCACTAATAGCCACTAATAACCAGTAATAATCAGTAATATCTACTAATAACCAGTAGTAATCAGTAATAACTACTAATAACCAGTAACAATCAGTGATAACCAGTAATAATCAGTAATATCTACTAATAACCAGTAGTAATCAGTAATAACTACTAATAACCAGTAACAATCAGTGATAACCAGTAATAATCAGTAACAATCAGTATTAACCAGTAACAATCAGTAATAACCAGTGATAACGAGTAACAGTCAGTAATAACCAATAATAACCAGTAACAACCAATAACAATCAGTGATAAGACAAGGATGACGAATAATAGAGGAT